ACTTAACGGATGATTAAGAGGGCAAATAGAGAGCGGCCCGGTTAACGACGCTGTAGTTTCCATCCCCTGGAACCCTCGCCGCGACCCGCTCCCTAACACTCCCAGCAGGACCCTCGGAGCACGGTTTAATCGAGTTACCCCCATTTCGTAATCGCCCTCTGTCCCCGACGCCGACACCGACACCGGTTGCCATGGTGACCGCGAGCGGTCCTGAAACCCGATTGGCGGATCTTGACGCACGCGAGAACCCTGGGCCACCCCTTTGCCGCGTCCTACCGGCCAGGATCAGCTCGTCGCTTCGCGTTGCGGCGGCCGACCCTTCAACCCTCCCCGTTTCATCCCGCTATCTTTCGCCGCGTTCGCCCTTCACCCTTCGCTCCCCGCTTTCTCCAAATGTCTGTTTCTCTCCCTGTCTCTTTCCGCCCCCTGTCTCATCCTCGCCCCGTGTCCTTCTGCGCCCTCCCTCTTTCTACACCCTGTCCCGTTCTAACCCAGGTCTCTTTCTGTCCCCTGTGTCTTTCTCTCGATCGCTCTCTCTCTCCCTCTCTCTCTCTTTTTGACCCCTATCTCTTTTTCAACTCTCTGTCTCTCTCTCCGAGCCTCTCTCTTCTTCTACCCCTTGTGTTCTAACTACCCCTATCTCTTTTTCCCGCCCTCTGCCAGTTTCTGCCTCCCCGACGCTGTCTCCCAACCTCTCCCTTTCTGCCCCCGTCCCTCCAACCCTCGCCCCGTCGCCCTCCGTCTCGCATTTCCGTCCATCCGGCTCTCTCCAGGCTCGCGGAACGAGCTAAAGGTGGATTTACACACTCGAGCCAGCTGGATTTACACTCGGTTTAACCGAGTTTACCCTCCGTCACCGGGGCGCGTAGGTGAGACCCGCGATCCACGACAGTATTTTACGGGGGCGCGCGGGTTGTAAAAATCGCATAAAAGCTTCGAACAGCTTGGACGATTTATGCCGCGATACCGACCACCGATTTTATTCGACCGGCCACGCCGACGCGACGCGACGCGACGTCGCTCTCGGAAACGAGGAACGTCCACTGGATCGTGGGAACCAAGTCTTCGCCGGAACGGGGAAACACCGGGAATTTCGTTCGGTTCGTTTTTTCCAGCCGGGCTGGACACACGGTGTCTGACAAATGGTAATCGGGCCGCTGGGATACTATGTAGTCAAATCAGTTTTTTAACGCGGCGGACAGCGAAACGTGGCCGGCACAAAGGTATCTGGGTGTATCGGGGTGATTTGTTTGGTGGAAAGAACACCGGACGACGGTCATGGTGCATTGTGATCCGTTTTGTGTATTCGATGCTGGACTTTGTCCGGGATTGTTGGACGTCTCGTTCGAATCGAAGCGGGATTCTACGTTTTCTGGTGACGATATTTACTTAGCCACCGGTTAAATAGTAACGAGAAGATTGTTAACGACCATGGAGGTTTTAATCAGCTTCGCTAGACCGCGGATTTTATGCATTTGTGGCAAAATCGGGGAGTTACGATTTAAAATATTAGAAAGATTGTAGGAATTTAAGAACGTCGATTTATTATTTTTAATCTATTAACCCCATGATGTACCAGTTTCTTCGCGGTCGTTGCGATTAGGAATTTCTCGATTGCAATAATTTCTTGGAATGATTAAATATCGATGACAAGAGATTAGAATTTTATTACAATTTCAAAGGACAGAACAGCATCTGTGCTCAATAATTTATTCCTAGACATTCTCGCGACGATTTGGACTCGTCAAAGTACGGCAAGGGGTTGAAAGGATTAACGTAAGAATGAGCTTGCTATTTAGTCTTTATTTCTTGCAATTCGTGCAGACAATTTCGCGCAAAAATCCGCGGTCTAGCGGAGGTAGATAATAACTTATTATAATAAACAGATAATAAATAATTTCCGGAGAATCGTTCGCAAAGAAAATCGTTCCTCCTAAATTCGAAATTTATCGAAAGCACGGTGTTCCCTTCGATCAAATTATTCCTTATCAAATTATTCTTCTTTGCCAAACGGTCTTCGAAAAAGGCGAATTAGCCGAACGGTTAGCGACCCACGGCCAGCCTAACCGGGCCCACTCTCGCCCCCATTCGATTCCACGATCGAGCCAGCACACAAAGCGTGTTTCTAAACAGTTTCTGTCGCAGGATGATCGTCGACGACGCTGCACGCGTGATCTCCGTTTAATCCGGGTCTTGTCAAAACCGCGTCGGATCCTCTGCTAGCCAAACATCCGCGGCCCGCCTGCCACCCCCTTCGCATACGTCGCCGACAATGCCGATTTCACGCGTTGATAGCTCGAAAATGGAGTCCATTCAACCCTTCTCTCGCAGGAAGCGCGGGGCCGGGAGAATGTGTATCTAACAGTCAATTCGGGGACAATGCCGGGGCCGGATCAGCCCTTCCTTTTCATCCCCCTTTTTTTCCGCGGCGCGGCGGGGTTCCGCGTCATCGACACGGACCATTGTAACCGGATACACTCTGCTTAGGGGTGGCTTCCAGACAAACCCCGGGACCGGCTTCTCTAACTAGTTGCCACTTAATTTGGCAAAGATCGAGGGTCGACGCCGTCGCGCGACCCTTTCGGCTCGGCTCTGCTCGGCTCCGCTCGGCTCGGCGAATCGATTGGCCAACGAAATGACGCTCGACCGTTTACGCTTTATCGC